TCAAAATGCCTAAGTATCATAGTAATAAATATATAATAAATATGGATATCTAGACTGTACCTTGACATATATAAGATATCATCTTGTGATTTATGTAGATATTTTTTTTAACATTTTGGCTGATATCCAGTCACAGGAATGCATAAGGAATTCATCACACCGCATATTACGAAAAGGAAAAGAAGGCAGGCGGAGACAAAACAGAAGAGGAGAAACAAATATAAACAGGAGAGCATATCAGAGAGGGAGCGTTATTTCTGCAAGAAGTCAACGACTTCCTCCCCTTCCCAATACTGATGCACAACACACTGTATCCCTGTTTTCGTGAATGCTTCACTCCTCACCATCAGTCAGGTCAGCCCCATGAACACACTGAGTGGCGTTTTCTTAGTGTTCAAAGCAGCACCTGGCACAAGCAATGCAATAATTATTTGTTGAATGGGTACATCGATATATCGGTATTTAAGTTTTTAAAAGGCACTGAAAGATGAGTGTACCTTGTACACAAGGTACAGTGTTCACATGGATTTGATAGGATAAATATGGTCAACATGGATGCTCAAATTCTAGTTAAACTAGAAACTGTTGGCTCTGAATTATACTATGGTGTAAGGCTGCAACCTGCAAGATCAGAAGTTCAAAACCACCAGCTGCTCCTCGGGAGAAAGATGAGGTTTTCTGCTCCTGTAAACAGTTACAGTCTTAGAAACTCAGAGACACCGTTCTACCCTGTCCGACAGGGTCGCTAGAAGCTGGCATCTCCTCAATGACACCGAGTTTGTTTTGGTTTTGGAGTATGATTACAATTATAGACAAATGATTGAAAGAATACTGCCATTCAAGGGGGGGTCTATCACAATATGTCAGAACAAAAAGACTGGAGATTCTTTGGAAAATGCCTGTATATCCTTCCTTTAGTGATCTGACTATAATTTTGCCTTCTAATAAACTTATGTAGACAGTGGTCAAAATGTTCCACTGAAATAATGAAACTGCCCAAGAAACTGGGTGTGTTTTGTTTTCATCAATTATCATTTAATTTCACACACACACACACACACACACACACAAGTATGTGGCAATATTTAAACTCTCAATGGGTTCCAAAGAAAGTGACCATTACTAACACCTTTTATGTGTACTTATCTCTTTTTGAGTATTGGGGAACTTGTACTTTAGAAATCCTTTCTTCTTCCCGTAAGAAAACCAGAATATGCTGGCGAAAGTTACAGTCTGCTTTTGATGCCAGTGAGAGAAAACTTTGGGGTTTGTTTTGGGGGGGGTGATGGCGGGTAAAGGCTTACAAAACTATGTAATCAACACAGGGAGTACCCCACATTAGCTACAGAAAATTGTGTGATAGATTTCTGAATATTAAAATGTCTCAAAAAAAACCCCAACAACCCAAAGCTGAATGTTTAAGCCATGCTTAAACTGCTCAGAACACTTTGGGGGAAATAGAATATTCCAACTGATGGGCAGAGATAAATCGTTCTGAAAAGCTCTCCTTTTTAGCCCAGCCCTGGCCTGTCTAACTTTCCCTCTTGTTTACCAGGAGGTAGGACAATACAAATACTATGTAAACTCATTCCAGGCGATACCTATTTCTGCTAAGCTCTTGAGAGCCTATACTTGAACTATATGAGGCAAGTAATTCTTAATATCTACAAACTTCCCATATACCTGTCATTCAGGTGTCAGGCAACAGGTAGGTCAATGATACAAGATGAGAAAGAACACTTACAGTGTGCGGTTATAACAGGCATGAATGACTGCTTTCATAAACGTGTGAAATAATAACAAGATATGAGGAAGTTCTCAAATTTTAATAAGTCAATTATTGTATAAACTGGGCTCCTAAAAATACAGGTTATTAGAGCAAGGCAAACATACCCTGACAAACCCCGTGCCAGGAGGGCCAATCGATCATGTGTTCTTCCCCCTCTTTTTGCTGCCTCCCTAATTCCTCAAATTCGAATGACCATACAAAAAGTTGCAAGATGAAAGAAAAAATTATTTTAAAAGTCACTGGTGTACCTACGTCTTCATGTCTGTCAGTGTTTCTAAATAATATCTCAAGAATAAGGATTGTGTTTTTACGATATACCTACTTGGCTCCAGATTGAATAGATTCAATAGTTTTATCCATGGGAGTGGGAGAGGGGTGATCAAAATGACAGTATCTTGGGTTATTTTTTACTTAGCGGGTATTTTCATCCAAATGAAAGCTGGGATGAGTGGAAGGTGGGAACTTATCGCAGAAGGAAACTTCAAATGTTTTCCATAAAAGCAAGTGATAGAAAAATGGGAAGAGAACATATTGTCAAAAGTGGAAACCCTTGCCAGACAAAGAAAATCAAGGCAGTCCAGATAAGTCTCTTCTTTTACAGGGTCCAGTGCATTATACAGAAATGTCCAGCTTTGGGCACCGAAATCATAACCATGACCCCAAAGATTAAAGAAATGTCTTCATCACCCCACGGAGAAGAAGGCTGAATGGTAGCAGTTGACTTTTTGATGTTTCCACTGTGAAGATCATAGAAAATAACAGAGATTCAATATTTTCTTTTATCATATTCTCCACTCTTCTCTTGAGACAATGGAGGGCAGGTGAAATGTTTTCAAAATCTGGAGAGTACCCAATGTACATATGCCATCTTGATTAAACATATGGAACCCATACTTGGAGAAAAGCCAACTGGAGACCTACTTGAGTAATCTAAACACCCAAGCTGAGAGGGGTTAACATATAAAGTTCAGCTCCCCACTTTGAAGTTTTCTGGTCTTCATTTTGTCTAATTAAGACAAGATTTAATAATCAAACCACTGTACAAACATGTACCTAAAAGCATAGGTTTGTTTCTAATTTTAGGGAGAATTCTTAACAGATTCCAAAGAATCAGCTCCACATGACAGAAGGTCTCCAATAAGATTTGCTTTTCTTATTGCTAAAATGCAAATACCTGCTTTTCACCTTAGTTTCTTCCATGTGACTGGGGTTAGCAACCACTTGTCAAAATATGGGATTTAAAAAATATCCTGATATAAGCACACCAACTCGATCTGGAACAGTGGCAACTCTAGGACTTAAAAACCATGTTTCAATATATCCTTACACTATCCCTAGGAATCATCTATAGATGTCAAAGGAAGCCATTTTCCCATTGTTAATAGGACACGCACATCCACCCGTTTTGGGGAAACATAAGTAACATGGACAGAAAATATATCTATAATCTAACATGAATTTTATAAATGAATCTAATTCCAGAACACTAATATCATGAGGTGAATTCCCAATCTTTTCTTTGGTAGATAGATCTCTCAGTGGACTCTGGGTATTTTTCAAAGAATACCTGGTAGGTTAAAGCTGAGCTAATAAACAGCAAAAGTGAACCTAACTGTACCACGATATCTGGTTAATTTTTAAAGAATTTGGTAAATTTAGAAAGGTGGAGAAATAAAACAGATGTCCACCTGATGACACTGAAAACAACCTCAAAGTATGGTGACAAGGGTAACGGTAACGACAGGAAGAGAGTGATTGCCTCTTATGGTCTCCCCACCCCCAACTCCTTCTCAAACACCTTGTGTGTCCCAGAGGACGGGGCTGGACGAGTTTCTGGCCAGTGAAGGAGGCTCCACGATGCTGTCGGTCCACACTGACCTGCTAACCCAAAGGTAGGCAGTTGGGAACCTCGAGCCGTTCTGTGGGAGAGGGATGAGGCGCTCGGCTCACACAGAGACTGGAGGCCTCGGAAACCCCACCTACGGTTGCTATGCGTCAGCACTGACGTGCCAGCAGCGAGCTTGTTTCTAGTTGGTCAGTGGAAATCTCAAGTTCATGTTCTCTTCATGGTCCTGCCTTTGTTTCCCTAGAGGCCAGAGAGAACAGAAAATCCCAGTCCCACCTAAAATAAAGTGAATGCATTAGGGCATCCCTTCTCCTATTACAGCAAAAATATAGAAAGATAGCAAAAATAACCCAAGCACAGTTAAATAAGATGTCTATTAGGCATTCTTTTAAAAATATATATATCACAATACAATAAAGCATTTAATTGTTCAAGCAAAAATATAGCCACTAGTAAACAGGACATCATCTCTCTCTCTTTTATAAGTTTGCATTTGCTTTTTAATCTTTCATCGAGATCATACTGGATGATTAGTAAAGATTTCGAGATGGACTGATCAAGCGGCTACGACAGTGGACTCAAACGTAACAAACGTGAGGGTGCTGCACGAGGCAGCACTTCAAGGACCTCATTTCTTAAGAGTAGCCTCTTACGCCTCGAAGACAATGGAGAGACACAATACAAAGAAGAAGAAATAGAATCTACACATTCCGGACTTTTAACATAGACCAGGGATGACAAGGGCCTGCTGTTGGAAGCCGATCACTGCTGAGAATGGAGATCAAACTGTACGTACCAAGTTTCTGAATATCATTTCACTTAGGCAGTCACTGAAAAGACCTCATTGGCTTGTCTGTTATCATTATCTGGTAGTGCTGCTGCTCTGTGGCCTCCTCAGCAGGAGGATTCCTACGGATCTGGTGTGCTACTGATAGATTATCCTCTGAGCATTTTAGCCAAAACAAGGCTGCCAGAAAGAAATTATCCAAGTTTCCCAGAAATGGCTCTGAGCATTTTTGGGGAATGAAGTGAGGAATACTTGAGAAAAATCAACATGATAGGGTTGCATACAACTCGTCAAAAATGCCATATTAGCTAACCTTGCCATCTCTCCCAGCACCTGCATAAACACGGTGGCACGTGTATATGCCACATTCGGTTCTGCCTTGACCCTTTCCTACAATATTAAAAAGGGAGGCTCTACGTGTGTGTGCTTGTATTCTTTCATGCATTAAAATAGGTAGTCAATCAAAAAGGATCTCATTGCATCAAGCTTTTGAAATCATCTTAATCATGCTATATCATCTTGTCGGTGGAAGGATGGTTTCCGGAGGCTGACAATTCCACTTGACTTGGGGGACTTACTTTGTTCATGTGGATCTGCTGCTGGTACTGCTTCTGTTTCTCCAAGAACTGTTGGTGCTGCTGCTGAATGACCAGCTGAGCCAAGGTGCTCTGCGGCAAAGGTGCAGACTGGGTTCGATTCAGGGGTCTGTGCCGGGGCAATTTGTGAGTACCTCTAACGCCAGGGGAAATTCTCTCCTTTGTTGCCAAGGGAGACTGTGGATGTAAGGGAACCCCACCTGGAAAATTAAAGTAGATATATAGAGGTGGTGAAGATACTAAAAGAAGCTGCAGATAAGATAGAGATGATAGATCGATTTTATGAAAACTAGTACTACTACCAGGCAAGCAGGAGAAGGTCATGCTGGGTGGGGAGAAGGTGAAAGTGTCAACAGGGAAGACAAGTATGAGCCCAGCTATACAACTCACCAGTTCAACCCTGGTGTGCATGATGCTAAGTGAGGGTGTGTACATTTGTGTGTGTGTGTGTGTGTGTGTGTGTGTGTGTGTGTGAGTGTGTTTGACTCCACGGGAAGAACGAAGGATATAAGCCTTTCCCACTAGTGCACGATGTGGAGAGACCCTTTGACAACACTGTAAATCTTTCCGATGGTCTTTAATTGACGGGGTGAATTTATCAGGGAGAAAAGAAAAGCCCTACAATGACCAGAAAATGAAACCATTGCTCATTACCTGCGACAAGAAGCTTCTGCTGCCGCATGTGCTCTTTCAGCAGTAGGTGCTGCAGGAGGGCTTGGTGGCTGCTGTTGGGCTTTCCCTCTAACGCAATGTGGGGGTGGCCTGAGGCTGCCGGGAGGCTGCCCCCGTACTGCCCTGGCAAAGGAACACTTTGCCTGAGGCTCTGCGTCTCACACTTCTGTTTTTCTTTGAGTGGATTCGAAGCCTGTCCCGAGAGAAAACAAACACGTTCAACCTTTTCGTCCATGTTAACTATGAGGTCTTACCTCATTAGGTGAGTTTCCTAGGTCACAATTCCCCAAAACTAAAGCCCCACCTTACCCAATGGTAGAGTACAGAAAAGAGGTGACAGCGTGTCTTTGAAGTTCACTTAACTAATGTAGGAAAAATACTCAGATAAACAAAATGGAGTACTGGGGAAAATCTCGCATTAGATATGACTGTGGAATTTAAAAGGAAAAGTTATCTTTTTTGAAACAGCAAAAGCCTGCTAACTTCTGGATTAAGAGATGCAAATGTGAGGGGTAAAATATATACTAAAATATACTGCTGAAGGAAAAGGCAGGTTGGAGAAGTAAGATTTATTTTAAAAGCTAGCTTACAGAATATATCACAGGGAGAAATGTGTTGCTGCTATTAGGTGAGTCTGAGTCAATTTCAGCTCATAGTGATCCTTGTAATAGAGAAATACCTCAAGAGGGATTTCTAGACCATGGTTTTGCTAATCTGAAATAGGGAAGTTTCAAACAAAAGGAACAATTCTCCTTTTCTCTGCATTTCCTCTAAAAAAGGTTCTGGAGCTGAGAGTTTCCAATATTTAATTTTTAAAAATATAATTATTTAAATGGCTAACAGAAAGATGTAAGAATATGTAGGACTCTGATTTAAACATGCATTTTGCATTAATTCATAACAGATCCTCCAATCCTTAAATATTGAAAATGACACTGCAGATACTTTGCTTTATAGAGTAAACTAAAGTGAAATCAGATATCTAATAAAAATGCTATTAAGAACTTGAAATGTATGATAACACAGTAATAAGGCTATAACAATTCTATCATCAGTAGTATAATGAGTTATCCTATTGAAGTCATTTAATGAATGGTGGTCATTTTGGTATTGCAAAAGCAGAAGTCTAATGCCTCAAACTGATGTGGTATGTTTCTTTTCAAAACTTACGTTTCATCTTTCAAAATTGCTATGCACCAGGGAAGCAAAGCAATTATCAGTGATGGAGAAATTGCAGGACAAAGAGGGAAACGGTTTGTCTGAGTCACAGAGCAAGTCAATGCAATGTTCAATCTAGACATGATTCCTTGTCCTGGCCTCTTTCCCTTAAAACTTGCCGCTAGTCAGTGGGGGAATGGAATATTAAGATTCCTTTGGCAAAGCAGTGTTACACTTGAAAAATTAATCATGATGGCCCCATCCACACCAAAATGGAAGCAAAGAAAAATGGAACTTCAATCCAAACCACATTAATATATTTAGCCAACGGTACCAAATCATATTATCATTGAAACATTAAATGCTCTGGGTTTAGTACTTGGTCCTTTGGGAAACAATTTTCCCTGACCACATTAAAAGTGGTGTATGTATGCTTAGTGGGAGGAGTGCTTTAGAACACACAAAAGTACTATAAATCACAGATCTATTCATGTATCATCTAAAGGTTTTGTGCTAGTATTCAGTTATCATTGGAAGGGACAAGGAAAATAGAAATCAAAGAAAAATAATTTTTAATAAGTGAAGATATCTAATCATTTCTTTTCTTTTTTTAAATCGTTTTATTAGGGGCTCATACAACTCATCACAATCCATATATACATCACTTGTGTAAAGCACGTTTCTACATTCATTGCCCTCATCATTCTCAAAACATTTGCTCTCCACTTAAGCCCCTGGCACCAGGTCCTCATTTTTTCCCGCTCCCCACTTCCTGGTGAACCCTTGATAATTTATAAATTATTATTTTGACATAGCTTGCCCTGTCTGACGTCTCCCTTCACCCACTTTTCTGTTGTCCGTCCCCCAGGGAGCATCTAATCATTTCTTATGGTTAGTGTCAATCCTAATTCTTTACTTTTCACTATAAAGACTTATTTACATGCTTAATGTGCAATTTTAAGGCTATAGTTACAAAAACTTTAAACATTTCTTCTTTAGTTCTCAGATATGAAGCAACATGCAAATTCTGCCTTCTCCCTCTGTATCTTTGTGTCACATTCGATAACACTACGCCCTTACACCCACCAAATGTAATAAAGTGCCTCTTTAACTGAATTAGCAAATGAGAAATACTTATACAACTATTAAATACTTCTATTAAAGCAACACAATGTCTTTAAAACTAACTGGACCAACAACTTTGTAATATGTACTGACATAATAATCACATTTATGACTTCAAAATATCATCACAAGTGTGTTTGTGCATAAAGAAATGTGCCACACATACACCTGAGGTTCTGAAAATAAAAGTAACACAAATTTTGGATGCAAGAAATATTGCGAAAGATGCGAGGCTGGCATGCTGGACTCAGTGGAACAATTGCTGCTAAAAATTGGGAAAACTGGTAAAAGGACTTGAAACAAAGTTCCCTTTAAATGTCTCAGATGACCTACATATATCACAAGCCCAAACCTATTACCACTGAGTCAATTCTGACTCGCAGTGACCACGTATAATGTTTCCGGGCCCTATGTCTTTATGGGAACAGATAGCTTCTTCTTCCTCCTGTGGAGGAGTTGATGGATCTGAACCACCAATATTTCAGATTACCTGACAGCCCCACCAGAACGCTATATAACTGTAATTTAATTTAGTAATGTTTCACAGAGGAATTATTCTATATAAGGCTCATAATCCTTTTTATAGACAAAAACACAGTATTTTAGGGACTATGCATAAAATAAATATACTAATTAAAAATATCTCTGGTTAGTAGAAACATAACTCCAAAAGATCCTATTGTGGTGTGTCAGGACTTTTAAGCTAATTGATTCACTTAAAATCTCCTGGGAATATTTAATTGCGTTCTCGGCGAATTTCTCCAGATAGGCATTCTTTAGTACCATGAAATCAGTAACTTAAATACCCCAAACAAGGTCATTCATAAAATAAATTCTATAAACTTTTGCAGCTGTGCATTAGAAGCTAGGCCTCTTGTCACTGGCTGGGTTGAATTCCAGGACTGTTCCTTACTGGCTCTCTGAATTTGCTCCTCTCACTTCATGGGTCTCTGCAAAGGCAGTGTCACCTTGGGCTCAGAGGGGAGCCATGGGGAGGCACTCAGATCATCTAACTGAAGGGTCTTTCCTTTCTTTCCTTTTCTTTTTAGGTCTAAAGCATTTTGCAAGGAGCACTGGTGGTTAAGCACTTAGCAGCCCACAGAAAGGCTGGCAGTTGGGCTGGCAATTCAGAACCCATTTTGGGGCTCCATAACTCTACAGGTGAAAGAGCTAGCAATTTCCTTTCAGACCGATGGCGGCCAAGAAGAGCCTCTGAGGGAAGGGGTAGGTCAGCTCGGTCACCACGGGAGCCCTGAGTTGGAACTGGTTTGAGAGAACTCAACCCCGACAACACATGATATAAAGGCTGGTTCCTATTTTTCTGCTATGCTAATCTGCATCATTCTTCACAATGAAATCAGAATGAACTCACTCCGACGACGCTGCCAAATGAAGGGAAGTTGACTCAACCAAGTTCTCCTCCGTTTAAGTATGTAAGAAATTAAAGAGCGTCATTGCTGTGAAACTCCCTCTCAGACAGGTGTGCACCCGACGCAGCGGCTACAGTGAAAGGACTTACACTGAGCTGGGAGGACACTGCTGGAAGTCCCAAGGTGATGTTCGGCAAAGAGGGAGAGGTATAAAGACTTAACAGGTTCATGGAATCTTCGTGAATTAGAATGCGCTGCTGTGAAACCATCTGCTGTAAGGAACACATAAAAGGAGAGTCTCAAAGGATCACAAAACCACCGCATTTATTGTAGGATTTTCATATTTCTGAAAATTGGCTCCAGGTTATCCTCATTATGAGCATATTCAACATTCTAAGTATTTACGCATTTATTTTATGATTTCTGTATCCAAGCATTATATGTAAAAATAAATATAAAAATTGTCTTCATCATTTTAAAATATCAGAAGAAAGAGGTTCAATGCTCATTGTGCAAGATCTGATTTTTAAGAAAAGGCAATTCATGATGCTTGGCTACCTGTCATCTGTTGACAAACACTGTAATTCTGCAAAAAAAACCCAAACTATTTGATTGTAGTAATGAGAGATAAAATATGTACGTGATGCCATCATGGTCATTGTCTTTATGTAGAATTTATAACATTTTACTGAGATACAAGTCTTTCACACAAGAAAAATCTTAGACTGAATCTCCTGGTATAAGACTTCTATAATTATTGTTATTTCCCTTTTCAATATACATCTTCATGAATCAACAACTCTGTGATGCTTAAAAAAAGATCAGTCCTATTCAGAAAGAAAAGTAAATGATAGAACATTTTGAGTTCCCTAGGCCACAATCACCTTCACTTACATGGAAATGCCCCAATGTTAAGGCATCAGAGTGCTTTTTACAACAAACACTGGTTTTAACTCCAATCGTAAGAGTCATGTTTTCCCACATGTGGCCTAATATGGCTGCTTGAATTACATCTTCTGTTTAACTCTTGCTTCCCTCCCAGAACTTTTATACAATAAGAGTTACAAAGGTCTTATTAGACTAAGGAACTCTGGCCTGATATGGTCCCCAAGGGAACAACATCCCTGAAAAAGAATACTCCATGTAACAGTATGACACAGTGACTGCTTTCTTCCCAAACAAAAAGCATATGGGACTCCAATAATAGACCACCTCCAAGAGGGATATTGCACACACGGGCTTTGACTAAAGTAAATATAATAACTTGTCAAGCATGTTGGGGGGAGCCGGAGATTTTCCCCGGCCAAAACCTGGGATATCAATTAACTGGGGAAATATCATGTGCTAATACAGTGCGACCTCAGAATGTCACTGAAGAGTGATGCTCCAGCAAACACAGGATGTTATTCCAAAACACCACCTCCCCCAGACGCTTGTTTGGAGATGAGTCCAAGCCGTAACATAACGAGAGCAGGAGGTTAAATGTGGAGTTTTCTCATCCAAACTTGGAATTCCAAGCAACTCTATCCCCCATCCTCCTTGCGAGACACTGAGTCCAATATTTGTGCATGAAAATGAGGTATGTTGAAATCATTAACATTACATTAGCTCTCTGTACAACTGTTCACACAATTAAAATTCCCGAGCATGAAGATAATTTGAAAAGATGTTATCGTCTCTAAGTATAAAGTTAAAATTGTGTTTTAGAAGCTGCTGACAATAGTTTCCTATTTACTGTATGGAAACAGATAAGCCTCTATTTCACTTGCAAAAGTATGCCTTGAACATAATATTAGAAATGTAGAATATATACCTCATTACTGAGAACAAATAAAACATGGAAGAAAGTAAAAATGCTGCAGCTTATTGGCAGCAAACAGCAATTTTTAAAAAAAAAATCCCATTCACTTTTCTGTACTTATAGAAAACAAATATAAAAATATACACTTAAAGCAAGTTGTAATCTCCATTCAAGTATGCATTCGCTTCTCCCAGAACATGGGAACGACACAGACTGTGGAATTATTCCGGGGGTTTCAGGGACCTCAACAATGGAGCTCACCTTGATGCTCCGGGCAGAGGTTCTGCAATGTCCTCCCACCTCATCGCCAGGAGCAGGAAATCGAAGGTCTTCGCAGATGTCATACGAACAGCAGCACACTGGCTGCTCACATGGGTGTGACGAAACGGAGCTGGGAACATGCTTACTGAAGAGTTGCAGATTCCCATAGTTTCATGTTCAAAAATAAGGAACCAGTCCTGAAAGCTCTAACCTGCTAAGCGCTCGACTACAGGTCACCTGAGGTCACTTGGTAGAAAGGCCTGGCGATCTGCTTCTGAAAGCTCACAGTTCTGAAAACCCTCCGGAGCAGTGCTCCTCGGCAGCACAGGGCCATTGTGTACTGCAACCCACCCCATGACAGCAGAGGGGTTTTGCACTGTGTAGCATGCCCTGGTGGTTTTTCAAAGGTTTGCCAAATCTTCATCGATACACCCTACACGATTAGGTTCATTTTATAGATGAGGAAACAGTAATTTCAGCAGCCATATTCCCCAATGGGATCAACAATAAAGCTTGTAAGTGTGACTTGTCTTCAAGGGTTGCTGCAAACGATACACCACCCTGAGTCCTTGCTGGAGGGGAGAGAAATCCTGATAGGTGTGGAGAAAGGGGTGGGGGGGATGCCAGAGAAGAGGAGGAGGCAAACTCAGACCCGCAGGCTTTTAAAAGGAGTTAAAGAATGCACGTGGGAGCCCACTGACAAGCCTGGGGACAGTAGGTGTCAGGCTTGAAGACATTCTTGAACTTCCTGGGGAAGCAAAGGTAAGTCCTGTGCCCCACACTCCCACTGGGCAGGGTTGGCTCTTCCAAGAATTTGACTGGTATAGTATCACATCCTAGCTCTTTAGGCACTTAGAGGTCACTTATCTTAACTCTCTCCATTATAGATAAGAAAGAAGTCTGTTGATTTTCAATGTCTAGAACTGTAAATAACCTTACACAACTGGGAATCCATCCTTAGCTTATATCCTTCAAAATCAGCTTCCCTCCATGGGGCTTTTGAGAGGAGCCATCAATCCGAGTCCAGGTGAATGGCTCTTAGTGAGTCTTTGGAGCTGGATTCTACACCGTAACACAGTACGGACATTAAGGCCAATGGACAAATAGTGCCGGACTCATTCCAGTTAATGACGAGCCCTGAGCAGGCCGAAAGTCATGCAACTTAGCACTGTAAGTTCACAATCCTGTTCAGTCCAACCCAGGATTTATCCAGAGAGCAGGTTTCGAAACTTATCCAACCCTTAAATCAGAGCTGAGTCAACATGCCAACAGTTCAGTTTATAGCATGGGAAAATGACTTCAAACTGAAACATTTCAGAATCAGAACGTTTTTCTTAGATAAATGTGACATTAAGGTATAAATGATGACCACTTCACAAAACATTAATGAGGAACTCCTCTGTGTTACTTTAATGGTGCTGGGAACTGGGTGCACAAGGTGTCTTATCCCAAGCAAGTTCACCTCCTAGGAGGTGCACAGAAAAGTAGCGAGCTCACTCTAATACTCTAATGGCTAGGGAGAGCTCAAGTATGGTGAAAGCACTTCAATGTCATGGTGAAGGGTGTCCGTTTTAAAGCACGCTTTGATGGGTACCTAGCATTTCACCTGAAAAGCATGATGTTGGGAAGAGCTCTAAGTGTATCGATTAAGTAAGGCCTCTGAGAAGGGCAGGTCTACTCACATGTTAATCAGGGTCTTCAAACATTATTCGACTTCTTTCCTTCATCAGCATGGCCCTCAAAAGAACAACTTTTGGGGAATATTCCCAATTCAGATGAGCACAACATATATAAACTGAAAAATTCTTCATGAAGTGGAGTAGAGTGCAGCGCACTGTGACTCCCTGTGACCCTGTGGGACAGCCCAGAACTGCCTCATAGCATTCCCAGGGCGGGACCCTTTTCAGCCTCATCTTTCTCCTGAAGAGCAGCCGAAGGTTCAACCAGGGACCATTCACTTAGCTGACATGCAAGCATGTAATTCCTGTGTCACCAGGATTACCTACCTAGGCACTGAAATAAAAAAGCTAGTTTTCATTAAAAGACCAAAAACCCTCTTTTAAAATAATGTGTAATGGCAAAAAATAGAAACATGGGACTTGCCAGTAACTGACAGCTATTGAGCAGGGCTCAGACTAGAAATTCTGAAACGAGGTCCAACGAAAGAACTGAACATCAAGATCTGACTGTGGTCCAGAAATCCCTTGCGAAGGATTTTATCTTCAAGAACTTCTCTCACTAACTATAAAGTGATGTCTAAGCGGAATACATTGGAGTGGTTTTTTGGTTTGTTTGTTTTTGAGGGTGGGCAGGAATTGGAGAAAGTTGGGCATATGCTTGGACAATAAAAGGCAGGAAAAGCAGAGATTTGCCACAGTGAACTGCACGATTAAAAACAAGCCCTTAGGTAACTGCACTCGTAACACAAAGACTGCACCTAAGATCACATCCTTAGTGGTAAAATGAAGAAGCACATCGAGACATGTATGTCAGGAAACACATGGCTACATAGCAAACAAATAAACACGAATGACCTAAGAACCTATTTAAATAAAAATACACATTATGCAGGAGGGGATGAGTATCTCTCAGGGCAAGGACGACGAAAGTGGGGAAGGAGACAAAGGAAAGGAAGAAGGTCAAATGGAGGGAGAGAAAAGAATGAAAAAACAGATGGATATCTTTCTCACCTAGCAGGGAGAGAAGTCAACTGATACTTAATAAAACATTAATTAGGTAAACAATGATAAAATTTTAAGAAGCACGTAGGAAAAGTAGAATAGACAATTCAGAATTTCCCACAATGTACATGAGAGTGAAAAAAAAAACAAAAACCAACCACATGAAGTTTTGATGTGAAACAGTCTAAACTAGTAAAAAGCATGTGACATTGAATTTTACTACTTCCTGTCTCGTGACTCTGGACAGCTATCTCCCTTCCCTGAACTAAAGTAGCATGAGTTGGTGTTTATATCTCTGCCTCGCTCTATCAAACAAGCGTGCCTATTGGAATGACTTCCAAATAGCATCGTCCTATCCCTCAACTACTACGGCCTAAATCCCCAAATCTAGGTTGTTTTGGCAGTAAGAAGTCTCTAAGCTTTCATTTTCAAGGGACTTCAGATGATATATTACTATGACATGGCTGGGAGACACACACACACACAAAAGAAATCATTATGGTTGCTTTGGGTTTGAAAGGCATTGATG